CAGCCAGCCCAGTGCAGTGTGGCAGGCCCCCGGCTGCCACATCTGCCCCAGCCAGCTTTAAATTTTGTTTTTTGATTTTTTTTTAGGCAAAAGAAAAAAAGAGAGAGAGAGAGAGAAAGAGAGATTCCTAAAGGGTCCAGGCTTACCATTTTATAGCAGTGAACATTTTCAGCTCTGCATGCGATTGTTAAAATTGTAAACAAATGATTCCGGGTAGAGACCGAGTAAGATAACTGCAGTGGAGCCAAATGGTGCTCCCCCTGTAATGAGTAAAGCAAATGATCTTACTGTCTGTTCCACAGTAGGACCCAAAGACTTATTTTAATCCTTCATTAAGGTATTAGCTCTTAAAAATCCGCGTTGTTGAAAAAAAATACTATTTTTGAGAGAAATGTTACAGTTGATACCATGAGATTTGAATGGTTTTACTTTCTTTTTCTCATTAAAAAAAAATAATCGATGTGAGTGCCATGGCATGTTTGTGAAGATCAGAGGACAGCCTTTAGGAGTTCAGGCTCTCTTTCTACCAGTGTGGTTTCTTGGGACTGTACTCAAGGTGTCAAGCCTATACAACAGGTGCCCTTAGCCACTGTGCAGTCTCTCAGCCCCAACACCATGTTACAGTTTTTAAGTGCTCTCATGAGTTTTCTCCTATGTAGCATTTCAGCAACAACTGCCTTGCGAAGTATTGCCTTTCTGTTTTAGAAACGAGCCCCTCTGGTTTTAGACTGTCCAGCCTGTCTAGAACCACCATGCTCCAGTATTCCCTCTGCTATGCTAGGAACCAGCACTTGCATGGCCTGGCTTCCTGGTGCTCCCTACTCACAGAGCAGTCCACCTTAGAGCTTGCTACCAAGTGGCAGCTTCTTGGTTAAATTTTGACTTTTTGTTTTGTTTTGTTTTTTGTTTTTCGAGACAGGGTTTCTTTGTGTAGCTTTGGAGCCTATCCTGGCACTCTGGAGACCAGGCTGGCCTCAAACTTACAGAGATGCGCCTGCCTCTGCCTCCCGAGTGCTGGGATTAAAGGCATGCGCCACCAACGCCCCGTGTAAACTTTGACTTTAATAATAGATTAAAATAGGGTCCGTGTCACTTCTTAGAGTGAATAGTAAGAACCATTAAAGGTTTTTATATTTATTTTTAGTCTTAGTGATAGAATCTAGGACCCACTGAGCAAGTTCTCTACTACTGAGCTACATTCATACTACCTGCTCTCTTTAAAAAGTTTTTTTTAACATTTAATTTTATGTATATGGGTCTTTTGCCTGCATATATGTCTGTGCACCAGGTGCGTGGCATGCCTGGTACTTGCAAAAGCCAGAAGAGGTTGTAGGATCCCCTAGAACTGGAGTTATAAACAGTTGTGTGTTACTATGTGATTGCTGGGACTCAAACTCTTGTCTTGTGCAAGCACAGTAAGTATTCTTAACCACTGAGCCATCTCTTCAGTCTGATTTATTTCATTTTAAATTATGTGTGTTTGTATGTGCATGTGTGCATGCATGTGTGAAGAGAAATTACAGTAAAGTGCTGTGGTGGGTCCACTCCCTCAAATCAGGCCTGCATGCCCTTTCTTGTAAAGGACTCCTTTAGTGGAGGTTGCAGTTCTTGTCCTGGGAGCTTGTGGAGAGACCAGATCCAAGGAAAATGGCCCTAGTACTAAGTGTTCTGTTTCAAAACTTCGGAGGCTACCTAGAAGAAACCCTTTCTTGCTTAGTGTTGTGGTCTAATTCTTTGCACTTGGGAAGCTGAGGCAGGAGGATCTTGAGTTTGAGGTCAGTTTGGGCCACCTAATGGGCTCTAGACTAGTGACTGCGGGAACTGACCTGCAGCTGAGCCTAACCTTGAACTCCTGAACCGGCCTTGACCTCCTGTGAGTGCTGTGATTCCAGGCATGTTCTGCCACTGCCAGCCTTCCATATTTTAACTAAGAAACTCATGTTTCTCATGCTGTTATCAAAGTTCTGATACTGGCCTTTAACTTCTGGGAATGTGTGTTCAAAGAACTAATGTCAAAGAACTAAGCAGCGTAGTTTGTGGCAGTTCAGGAGCTCTGGTGAGCCTCTCTATATGTGCCACTGATCACTTGGGTGGTCTCCAAGGTACACTGACTTGCTAGAGAATGAGGTCAGATAATTACAGGTTCCATTGTACAAGAGACCGATTTGCCAGTACCTCACAGAA